TGCATGCAACCATGAACGCAGGCATAATCCTAATTACTCACATAATCCTGCCTGCGGATATGCAGACTACATTAAAGTACATGGCGTTGTAGTGCTTTACATTGCACTACAGTACTTTGCCAGACGTACATACATGCATACATGCCTACAACGACGTCATCGCATACTGTCCAGGGTCGAAGTTATAGCGCTTTCTTGTGGATCGCTGCAGACACTGCGGGGAAGCTGCAAAGGGAAGTCATAACATCATGTGGTTCTAAGGGGCTGTCTGCATGAGCATGTGTTCTGATTTGTGCTGCAGTTTCAAGTAGTGGTAGTTGTAGTGGTAGTCGTAGTCATAGCGACGGTCGTGGGAGTAGTCGTAGCGACAGTCGTAGTAGTAGTCGTAGTAGTAGCACTAGCAGTAGTAATAGATTGGACGTCCGCTGGTAAATAAGGGCTTGGGGCATCGCTCGGGGCGTCGCTCAGGGCATCGCTCGTTGTGCCAGGACACCCAGAACCGAACCTTTACAGCCCTACAGCCTTGATTCCTAAAATGTTAAACTATTACAGACAAAAGCCTTCAGCCCGATGCCACCGACACCGCACCAACCATATAAACGACACACCATGTGACATATTTAGCCTTTCTCTAGTCACATCACTGTAGACAAGACATGAAAGCATCAGACGTCCGCTCCTATACTTTCAACTTTGGAGGCGCGGTTACAAGGGAAAGACTGGATTCTTATGACTTGTTGACCGCGTTTTGCACAGAAAACACGCATTGACAACATGTCTCTGACACAGTGTATCCTTCGGGCAACGAGGTTTGTTATGACTTTGCTTTGGGAGTCGTAACGCCGCGGTTCAATGGGGAAAGGCCTCCCCCGGCTGCTCCCGTTATGACTTCGACCTCACACAGTACTAAATGCACACTATGCACCTATGTACAGACGCATAGACACATACACACTTGCACACATCATATACATGCAGCACACACGCAGGAATATACCTATATGTTGCACTTTTGCAACGATACATATACATATGGCTAAATACAACGTGATTTATATACGTACGTATACACAAAAGTACATATGCTTATAAAGTTACAGATACGTATACATATACACATACATATATGGAAGAATACGTACATACATACACACTTATTAGCCATGACTCATACGTATATACATATATATACATAAAAATGTACATCTATATTGTTACATATACATATGTATATGCATTCCTACGTATGCATATATACGTACACACATACCTGTACATGTATGCATGCTTGTATGTATGTACGCATACCTACGTGTATAGATGTCAGTATGCATGTATGTGTAAGTATGTATGTATGTATGTCTGTATGGATGTATGGATGTATGTATGAAGGTATGTATGTACACATGTCACACATGTACGTATTCAGGTATGGATGCATGCATGTATATGTGTACGCATGTACATTTGTCCCCGTGTATGTATGTATGTATGTATGCATGTATGTATGCATGAATGTATGTGCATGCATGTATGTAAGCATGAGTTAATGTGTATGTATATGTGTGTATATATGAATGTATGTTTGTATGTATGTTTGTATGTATGTATGTATGTTTGTATGTAAGTCTGTACCTATGTATGTATGCATCTTTGCATATATGTGTGCATGCAGGCATGCATGCAGGCATGCATGCAAGCATGCATGCACAGCCGTGTATGTATGTATATATATATATATATATGTATGCATGTCTCTGTGTTAGTATGTATGCTTGTATGTACGTATGTATGTAAGTAGGTCGGCAGGTAGGTTGAATGCAGATGTGTATTTACACAGCGGGCACGAGCCGGCATATCTTCTGGGCATACACATACGGATAAAGATAGACACACACACAGAGATGTGTGCGTGTGTGCGTGTGTGTGTGTGTCGGTCTGTCTGTCTGTCTGTCTGTCTGTCTGTCTGTCTGTCTGTGTTGGTGCGTGCGTGTGTGTGTGTATGTGTATGCGAGCACCTCCCT